TTCCCACATCTCTGGGAGTCTCTAGATAATCCAGAGTTTACATATACACAAAGAAGGTAAATACAAAGGATGAGTCAGGAATTCTACAAGCATTCTTACCCACAAAGACTAGATTGTTGTAATTCTCTAACATCACATCCATGTACAATGTCCTCTGAGCACAGTCTAGACATTCCCATTCCTCTCTTGAGAAGTTGACATCCACATCCCTGAATGATAACAGACCCTGTAACACAAAATTACCTATGTACCATGTGCTGCTAAACAAAATGCATTACTAAGTAAAAGAAACCTAAAGAGTAAGAGATATATTTGTGATATAGATGAGGTCTGGCAAACATTCAAGGACAAAAGTTTTCTAGAAGTGTTGGTGGGGATGTGTCACAAGTTGAGCACCACTGCTGTTCCACAGACAATGTATAGAATGACAATGCTTACATAATGTCTCTCTCCTTCATGAATTTTATGATGTTTTCTAAGACCCGAGTAACAGGTAAAGGGCATACCTCATCTCTTCACTTTGGATCATGTAATAACTTTTAAATTTCTTTAAAATGTCATTCATTTCCTAGCATACTCAGTCACTATACAATATATTTTCACCCCAGTTCTGACATCCAATGTTCTTTTGAACTCTCCAGACAGGAGGCATACGTAGCACACACACACACAAACACACACATGCATTCAAGCAAATACACAGATTTACATAAAATCAAATTTTAATAAAAGATGCTTTCTAAAACAGTTAGAGTTATCACTGTATATTCTATCTCTGATTTAACAGGAATTGTTATGCAATCAGCACATGTTTAGGGAATATAACATACAGATTTGAGGTATAGATGCAGTGATGTAAGTTTATAATCTTTGTATTGATATAAAATAGGATGCCTCAAATTATACAACTGTTGTTCTTCCTGAAATATGGATATTATACCAAATCTGTCTGCAAGTGAGTCATATAATATTCAATTATAATATATTCAGTGGATATTCTGAGGCCTAGGTAAAATGTGGCATGTTTTCTAGAACAAAGACGTCTAATGTGGCATGCAGAATTCACAGATTAATTAAATGTCAAAGATTTTCTTTAAAAAGAAAAGAATATAATATCGGTGCATATACCCAACATTCCAAAAACCCTTAGACTCAATTGAAAACCACTGATTCAATTGAAAATTTTAATCTTCTAATCACAACTCTATTCTTTACTTCAGTATTTAAGCTCAGTCATCTTCCAGCATTTTAGGCAACAGATAAAATATCATCTGTAATTCTACCTTCACCATTCAAAAGCTAGAAGATTCAACATTATATACTACTTCTGGCACATATATGCAGCAGAAAAGTAAATCTTAGGGTTATAGGCATGGCTCAGAGGGTTAAAGAAACTTGCTGCTCCTGCATATGATCCTAATTCAATTCTGTATACAACATGTCAATTCATGCCATTGCCTAACCCTAACCTTAACCCTAAGAGATACAGGTGTATAATGCATCATACTTTGTACATTAAAAAAATGCAGATGAACATTCATATACTTAAATAAAATATTACTGTAAAGTAAGAAATAAAACTTTTTGAATATGTCTCCCTAGGTAATCAATACACTGTTTTAGAAATTTATTTTAATGTATGTTACTTTTGTTTATGCTACATTTGTTTAACTCTCTGAAGCTGTGGATCTTTGCCTGTCAGAAACACCAGCTGGTCTAATAAAGAGCTGAATGACCAGTAGTGAGTCAGGCAAAACAACAGGCAGGACTGGCAGGCAGAGAGTATAAACAGAAGAAATCTGGGGGGAAAAAAGAGCAAGATAGAACAAGGAGAGGAGAAAGTCAGGGATCAGCCACCCAGCCAACCACAGAGTAAGAGTGAAAGTAAGAAGTAAGAAAAGGAAAAGATCCAGAGGCAAAAGGTAGTATAGATAATTTAGGTTAAGGAAAAATGGGTAGCGCTGGGTGTTGGTGGCACATGCCTTTAATCCCAGCACTCAGGAGGCAGAGGCTGGTGGATCTCTGTGAGTTCAAGGCCAGCCTGGTCTACAGAGCTAATTCCAGGACAGGCTCCAAAGCAATACAGAGAAACTCTGTCTAGGAAAAAAAAAAAAAAAGGGAGGGGGCAACAAGACAAGCTAAGGCTAGACATTCATAAGAAAGTGTGATTTATTTGGGAGCTGTGTAGCTGACATCCCACCAAAAGAGCAAAAACAAACAACAATAATACATTGCTCCAGGGAAAGGAAAACATAGGGAGGAGGAAGTCACTTCAAAGAAAAGAGTAAATTAAGAGGGACATTCATTTATGCTTGAAAATTAATGGCTTATGTGGATTACCAAATCACTACTCTCCAGAAAGTTCTTAAAATGTATTATACTTTATGTAGTACAAATGTAGAGACAGCAGTGCTTACGCCACTTCTGAAAAATAACACCAAAGACGAAGAGAAAACAACCTGAGAACTTCCCACTAAGCATTGAACAGAACCTTTCCTGAGACAAAGATTACAGGTGTCAACACATCTATCATTTTTGTATATTAAATGTCAAAGAGAGAAACCATTATATTACAATGTGTATTTTCTCACAGGCACACAATTGTATGGCAAGAACAAGGAACATGTCTCTTCTATCATCTATGCCTCTATGATGTACAGTGCACAGGAAATATTCACTATTAAGATTTGAGACAGTGAGTCTCTTCTAATTTGACTTTTTCATAATTCATCAGGGATGTCTTGGAAAATTATTCATATATTTGCATGTCCACATTCATAAGCCTAGTTCTGGAAACTTGATCATTCCAGAAAGGCAATTTATGTGGTACATAAAAATCTTCTTTCCTCATGAATATAAAAGGACACAAGTCCATCCTGTGTAGAAACTTGCTACAAGCCTAAAGATCACATAGTAATTAATTAATCAGTCTCCTTTCACAATATCAACCCATAATGATAAAGAATTGTTCGGGAGGATTAAACCAGGACATCAGGCATATTGGAATATAGTCTTGTGAATGAATCGGCTTTTTCTTGCTGTAGATTCTTCCAGTAGGTCATTCTTCTCTGTAACAAACTTGGGATTTAATTCCCATAGTTCAGCACTATCTGGTCATTTACTGGACACAATTTCTCCCAAGCATTTGGAATTTACTGATTATAATCCTTAGCTATGTGTAAAACCTATTTTCCATTACCAGGTCTTAGTTCCTTGATTGAATTCCTTAGCTATGTGTGAGACCTGGTCCTCTTGTTCTCTCTCCTATCTACTAACAGAAATCTGCCATTCTGCAATTATCCTTATTGACAGGAATTTGGTTCGTGTTTATAGCCCAGGCAAAAGCAATCCATCTAAGACATTCCCAGATATCTAAGGACATAGAATTCCTACACAAAGCTGTTGGTTCATAGCTGCCCAGATAGAAAAAATAAGCATGCCCTAGTTTTATCTCTCTAGCAGATACAGAAGCAATAACTTAACCCATCACTAAAAGATTCTCAAACTTCTTGCATTTATCTTCACCACGGTTTATTAACCCAAGATCTTAGCTCAGAGAATTACTGCTTGTCTTTCCCCTGAGAAGGTAATGACAAAGGCAATCAGCCCATGCCAAAACAGAGCACTGGAAGGTGCCAATTCTGTGTCTTGTGCAAATTAAACTTAGGTCCTCTCCTTGACTTGCAGCCTAAGCAACTGATGCTAAAAGCTTCTCTTAGCAGGAAACAATATAAATATCTCAACAGCAAGTCAAAAGCTGCTTGCTTACATTCCTCTCTTGTTTATTGATTGCCTGGTTACCTTTACATGCTGGAAGAAGAGTGGCCACTGAGTAAAAAGACAATCTTTGCCTTAATCGCGATTTTTACTGATAATAAACTTTTATCTTTTTATCTAACCACTTACAAATGTAGCTTAGCACACTACTCTCCCTTTCTAGAATTCCCTGACAATTTAATCTCTTAACTAACCTTCTCCCTTAGGGAGTTCAGGGAACATTCACTAGCCCCTCTCATCACTGAGCTGACAAACAGAACTTCCCCTATGTGAAGGTTTTATCTGGTTTTATGGTACAAAAAATTCCAGCTTCAGAACCCTACTAGGGCTGGAAAATTGCTGGTTGTTATAATAATAATAATAATAATAATAATAATAATAATAATAATAATATGTAAACTGGAAAACTGGAAACATTTGGTTTCGGATAAAGAATAATAAGAAGCATAGATAGAAAGATCATGTTGTAAGCAGATTTTTTTTCCCCTCAGATTTTAGTTCCTTCACTTATTGTGACCTTTTTTTTTTTTTTTTTTTTTTTTCTTGGAAACTTGAGCTGATGTAGTATAATGTTCTTGAATACTGTAAAGATTTGTCACTCTTATTGATTTAACAAAATGCCGATTGGCCAGTAGCCAGCCAGGCAGTATAGGCCGGGCTACCAGACCAGGAAAACACTGAGAAAAAGGAAGGCAAAGTAAGTTGCAGCCAGACACAGAGGAAGCAATACGAGAATGCCTCACTGAGAAAAGATACCAAACCATGCGGCTAAACATACATAAAAATTATGGGTTAATTTAAGTAATTTAAGTTGCAAGAGCTTGTTAGTAATAAGCCTGAATAATAGGCCAAAGAGTTTATAATTTATATAAGCCTGTTTGTTTGGGACTAAAGGGCAGTGGAACCTGGTGGGGCAGAAATTTCCATCTACACTAATGCCCTCTAAAGTTTTCAAGAGAAACTGGCCATAATATATTTCTATGAGTAACATTCACAAGACATTCTTTTTCAGAATTGCAGAACTTAAATCATTGAAATTTATGTCCTCACAGTATAAAATCATGTGAAAATATAAAGGGACAAATTGAATCATTTAATTTTGATTATCAGAGGAGGAAAAAACCAAATAACTTCAAAGAACATTATCAAATACAGAGAATTGAAGTTTTGAATGATTTCAACAATAAAGTCAATTTTCAAAGGAAAGTGGACACGACACTGACCTGGGGAGCATTTACCAGAGAAGAATTCATTCTTCTTATTGTTTTTCTCTGAGTTTTCTGTCACAGGAACAAATATTGGAATCCTTGTTGAAATTTTAGATCAATGTATCAAAAATGCAAAGCTAAAATTAATACAATTCTGTAATGGACAATGCTAAAGAACATAAAAAGGCCCCAAACCCAAAATGATTCCAGAAAACTTTTAAACATTCCTACAGACAGGAGAGAGCATGGGAGGATATATTTAGAATAGGGAAAGAAAACAACTATGAACCTTACCATTGCACCCAGAAACTCTTAAAATTCATGGAAGAGAAAGGGTACCTAGAGAAGCTTACAAAATAACAAGAGACTTCCACCCAAATAGCATTGCAGATCAAAATTAGAGGTAAAATATACATAGAAAAAACAGAAATTATCCATGAGAGCACAGGAAATAATACATTTTATATAAAGAATAGATGAATAGGAGAGTTGGGGATTAATAGACTATATCTGAAACACAAAACTTGCAAACTCCACTGCTAACAGTAATTATACCACAAGAATATTTTTTTAAAAAAGTAATGAATAAAACCCCTGTAGTATGAATGTCACTAGAAACGAAAATACCATAAGACACACAGCAACAGATTTTGTGATAAACTCATAGAGGAAACAGGAACAGAACACAGCTGAACACTGTAAAGGACAGGTGTGTAATGAGTATAGAGAAAAAAATTTATTAGCAAGAAAACTGTAAGAAGAGTAAGATGCATGTGTTGTCTTATTGAAAGCAAAGGCATAACAGTAATCCAGAGAAATTTGAATAGGATAGGATTCAAGAGAAACAGGTAGGAAAGGCACCAAATTCCACTTTAATGATGATATATGATCACATACAAACCTTGACTATAACCATGGGAAAAATCTTAGATTTGTTAAGTGTATTAATGAAAAATACAACACTAAAACACAAAATCATAACTTTTCCTATTTATTAATAATGACAATTAGAACAGTAATGTAGAAATCTAAGTCAGTCCGGTTGTTTCCAAAAGATCTAGGAAAAACTCTAAGTAATCATAAATTTACTTCTTTGAATAAATTTTTAAGGCATTCAGGGGAAAAAAGTAGCACAAAGACATGAACTTCCAAGAATACTAACTGATAAGCAAAAAACATACATATAGCTTGTCTTAATTAGGGTTTTATTTCTATTTCTTCAATGAAACAAATTGACCAAAAAGTTGGAGAGGAAAGAATTTATTTGGCTTACACTTCCAAATTGCTGTTCATCATTCAAGGAACTCAGAATAGGAACTCAAACAGGGCAGAAACTGGGAGGCAGGAGCTGATACAGGACATGGAGAAGTGCTGGTTATTGGCTTGATCCCCATGGCTGCCACAGCCCACTTTCTTATAGAATCCAGGACTACTAGCACAGAAATTGCTCCACTCACAATGAGCTGAGCCCTTCTTCATCAATCACTAATAAAGAAAATTACCTACGCCAGGTGATGGTGGCACACGCCTTTCAATCCAGCACTCAGGAGACAGAGACAGAAAGGTTTCTGTGAGTGAGTCGGAGACAAGCCTTCTCTACAGAGTGAGTTCCAGGATAACTGGGGGTTTCACACAGGGTAATTCTGACTTAAAATATCAAAACCAAACCAAACAAACAAACAAACAAATAAAAAAAAAAACCTTTCATGGAGGCATTGTACCAAGTTGATAAAAAACAAAACAAAAAAACATTTCTGCATGTGGCTATATTACCAACAACAAGTAGAACTGATGTAATGCCATGAGGCAAATACCGACACTTTCCACAAAAGCAGATACAGTAACATTCATATGGAGATAGGAAAATAACAAATATCAAAATCGTCCATAAGAATGAGAATGTTTGCGGGTAACACAGGACCTGGTGATATATCATGGTACAGAGGCACAAGAATAAAGACAGTATGGTCCTACACATAAAGAAACATGTAAAAAAAAAAAAAAAATTGATCAGAACAGAGATCTCAAAGGAAAACTCAAAGTAGAGCAACAAAGTGAGCCAAATACATGGGAGACAAACCCAGGCAAAGAGAGTGGTTTGGGCATTCTATGCTGGGAAAGACTATCTATGTGTAGGTGAGTGATATTAGATCCGTATCTCTTCCCCTACACAAAAAAATCAACACAAACTACACCAAGGACATTCCTGAAAATGCTAAAAGTTCTGGAGGAAAACATGATTAATCCTTATTAATTTAGAAATAAACACACACATACACTGAAAGATTACAAGAACACAGTAATTAACCAGGAAAAATGACAGAGAGATTTCATGGAGTACAATGCTCTGCATGTCAGAAGAGTATACAAAGAATGAATGGTAGCTAAGAAAGTGAAGTACATACTTTGCTCTTCTTCGAAAAAGTGCTTAATATATATATACTACATAAACATCTGCTTAAGGTAAAAACAAAATGGATCCTGGGATGGAAACAAGAGATTTTAGTGGAGATAGGAAAAGAGGAAATAATTGGTATTGGAGGATTGGCAGTAGTTATGTTATGAAAATGAGGTGACAATTGCTGTCTCCATGTAATGAGGCTTAGGGAAGGAATCCAAACCATGGGGCAGCAGTGTGACAGGGGCGTATTGTGAATGAGCACCTCAGCACTGTGTTCTTCATAAGTCATCATAAGCTAATCAGAGCGGGGGGGGGGGAGGGACGGACCTCTTCCCAGCATAATGACAGGAATGAGAAGGCAGGGAAAGATGTTTCTCCAAAAACAATGAAAATTGTCAGCAATGTGAACATGCAGTCACAATGCCAGATCAGTCAGTTACTTTATTAGAAAATGTTTGATGTGCTCTAAAATTTTCTTTCATTGACATTGCTATCAGTAGTCTTAGGTAGTAGAAAACACCTAGTGTTATGGAGTTTGTGATTGGGGGGGGAAAGGGGGACAAACTCAATCTAATTATAAAAGAAAAGATTTAATGATTAGCTGCTAGCAGGACAATGGGGGTTGAGATATGATTGAATGGCTTAATTAAAATATCACCAATTATCCCTACATAAACGGGAATCAAGGGGCTAGAGAGATGTCTGAGAGATTAAGAGAACTGGCTGCTCTTCCAGATATATGCAGGCAGAACACTGCATACATAATAAAAGAATAAAAAATTTTTAAAAATATGTGGAAATTAATGATTTCTTTTATATGATCTAGAGCCAGTGAAGAATGTCAATAGTTATGATTTCACTGTCTTAAAAGAACACATGGTATAAAGTAACAATTATAAAACTTCATAGTCCTAATGAGCTCTCATTGTTAACCTTTATACTAAGGAAGCAACAAGTCTCAAATATTTTAGATTGCCTGTACCTTCACTAATGGTAAGAATTTAAGGTATATTTGTTACAACATACTATATATGTGATTCAACTCTGGTTTAGAATATACTATATATGATTATGAAATGTTAAGGTTATGGAAGTTTATTCAATTTAACAAAAGCTGACTTAGGAATTTACACCTAAGTCCTCATAATTTTGCAAATTGTTCAACACCAAGCTTTTAGAAAATTTAGATAAAGTATATTTGATAATCACAATTTATAACCTTCCAAGGTTTACTCAGGTTAACAACAATATTTATCTAGCCTCTTTTTCTTGGTTCACTTCGTTAAGCTTTAGATTTCTAGATAAATTAAGCCATACAAAACACTGCAATGTTGTATAATTGTGCACTATTAAAATAATAAGTAAATTTGCCAGTCTCACTATGGCCTTTATCTGTGATTAACAATTTTGATATTGAAAGAGCTTCAATTGAACCTAATAGGGATGACACATAATGTCCTAGTCTTATGAAAGCTACTTAGTGTAAACTGACAAGGATAATAAAACATACAAGTTAATGGTGAGTCACCTTCTAAATGGTCAAATTCTTTATTGTGTTCAGAACGATACTTGTAGCCATGTAAAGTACTAGTACAATTAATTACAAAAATAAGCTTCATCTAGTGTCCTGAATGTTTTCAAAGTTAAGCCTAAAATAAGTAACTAGAAACAAACTTTGTCTATTTAGACATACCTAACAGATAATGGTCCCCCAAATCTTCAGAGACCTGCAAAATATGTCATTTAAAATGTTTAATAAAAAGCTTTCTGTGATAGAGAGACATGCCAACCTGAGGTAGCATCCTTAATTACCTACAAGAAGATGGCTTTTGCAAAAGAACATCCACTAGAGCCTGCTTTAGACATGGCAAACCTGGCCTCTGGGCAAAAAAACTGCCCTTCACCTTGAATGCTGCAATGACCCTGTCCAGTCTGTGGACAAGCACAACAATGGGGAGTTGACTAACCTGCTCTGCCAAGACAAGAGAGATCATTCCTCCTCCCAGATCTCATTCCACAGGAAAGTCTGTCGGGTCTTCTGAGACTGGTAGCCAAAGACTGCCGCCCTGGGACTTCTGCTGCCAACAACCACAATGGAACCTAGGGTGACTGTTCAAATAGCCAGCAAGTTTGTGTCAGTTTTAATAGAATCAGAGCTGCTTGGTCTGCATTTTAGGCTTGCTCAAGTGAATTCATCTTTCTCAGTGTTGATGACTGGGCTAGTGATACATTTGCAAGCTTAACAGCATCAACCAAGGCTTCAGTCTCTGTTTTCATGAGTAAAATTCAGGGCACACTCCTCACATTCCCTGAGCTACTACTAGGTCTACTCACACTTTACCTTATTACTAGGCTCATAAAAAAGAGACAAACTCACAAAACAGATGTCAATTAACTTGTTACTATTCCTTTATTTAAAGGCACTCACTCTACAATGACAGCCCCCAGGAATCAGGCTCCTGTGTCTCGAAGTGAATATTTAGACAGAAAATATAGACGTAAAGTTTAAAGTTTAATCTGTGAGGATCTAAAAAGGTATTTTTAGGTGTGTGAAAATGCAAGTTATAATTTAAGGCATGCAAATGTAAGTTATAAATATTAGAAGTTTAACTGGAGATAAGTGATATATAAATGAAAAAATGTTTTCAGATTTCTTTCCCTCAGTATGCTA